TGCCAAACCCAGCTGGCATCGCTGCCAACACCTGCCTGTGCCCCACAGGGCACAAACCAACCTGCTGACGCAGCCCAGGGCTCTGCCATGTCTGCCCCTCCTCCTGAAACCTCGCTGGGCTGGGCATTTTCCATGTCGTGGCTGGCTGTTCTGAGCTGTATGGGTGTCTTTCTTCCCTCCCAGCAAGGATGTCACCTTGCCAAGGGCTTGGGAAGGTACATGAAAAGGATTTTGGAGATTTTCCCCTAAAAAGCTCAGAGTCACCTTGATCTCTCCTCAATTTGTCAATATTGGGATGGATTACTCAGAAATATCCTGTTTCCAAGGACTGGAGAGGAAGAGCCAGGCTGGGCCGGTGGCACAAAGAAGCCACCAAGGTGACAAGAGCCACAACCAGCTGAGGAATGTTTGATTCAACAGAAATTCCCCATCATCCATGCCAAGAACAAAGCATCTGGAGAAGCACAGCGCCAGCTTTGGCTCCCAAAACAATCCTCTTCCATGTCTTGTCATCCACAGCCATGGATTGCCATTGCAAGGGTCTTCTGGGCACTCTACCCCTCATGCCAGGCCTCTCCAGTGACACTGGGCTTTCTCCTGAATGGGATCAGATCCCTAAATGCACTTTCCCTGCTTTATTCCCTTCTAAACAAGCTGGTGTTCCATGAAAGGTGTCACCACAGAGCTAAGATGGAGTTCTGGGAGAAGGGCAGGTGTAGCAGGGCTAAGGGTAAAATCCACCAACAAAGTGGGAAAAATTGGTGCATTTCTCTAAAAGGGCTCTGAGGTAGCTGGAGAGGGGCTTTGGACAGGGGTCTGGAGTGATGGGACAAGGGAAAATGTTTAAAATTACAGAGATCAGGCCTAGGTTGGATTTTAGAATGAAATTGTTCCCTGGCAGGGTGGGCAGGCCCTGGCACAGAGTGCCCAGAGCAGCTGTGGCTGCCCCTGGATCCCTGGCAGTGCCCAAGGCCAGGCTGGACAGGGCTGGGAGCAGCCTGGGACAGTGGGAGATGTCCCTGCCATGGCAGGGGTGGCACTGGGTGGGCTTTGAGGTTCCTTCCAACCCAAAACTGTAAGTCTACGATTTAGCTCCACAACTCTCCTTGGAACAGCTGTGGATTAATTCAGGCCTGTGCAGAACCCACAGGTCATGGAGAGGGTCTGAAATGGCGTCAGGCTGGTTGGTGGCTGGAGATGGGGTCCCTCAGGACCTTCAGGTGACATTCTGTGCTCATGGGCAGTAGAAATTGGGATGGATGACAGGCTGTTTGCAGTTCATTTTTAGGGATTTTTGCACATCTGGAGTAGAATCAAGAGGCTGAGGAGCCTCTTTGTCAGTAGAATTCTGGTTTCACATCAGCACTGGGAGAACTGCTCTGCTTTTTGCAAAATCCTGGAGCTCTGGGTGCTGCTCCACAGAAGCCATGGGCTAGAGCAGCCTGACACAAATCACAAAGTGCTGAGCACTTCTGGCTGAGATTTGCTGCTTACAAGGAGACTGAGCTATTCTGGAAACACAGCCCAGATTATGGGTTTCAAACGCCAGAAAATCTCTAACTGAGCTCTTAATCCAGTTTATGGGTTCATCACAACTGGAGCTGAGCCATTCTTGGAAAGAAAACTTCGCCAAAGAAATCTTTCTCCACTGAAAACCACATACAAAGCTCAGGCCAACCACTCTAGATGGGGGAGTGATTAAAATATGCCACAGCCTCTGTCTGTGGGTGAGGAAAGTGGGGACAGCAGGACAGCTGCCAGGGCTGAGTGACAGACACAGGAGTGACACCAAAACCCACCAGGAGGCTGGGCTGTGCTCACACACCTGGGGGGCAGCTGGAGGTTCTCAATTCCAGCCCTGCCATGGTGCCACAACTATTTCCACCCCTGCAGGTGTGCCCTGGGGCCATCAGGGTGCAGGGAATCATCTCTCTCTGCACAGGCATGGGGAGAGGAGCTCAGTTCTGCTGCTTCAGAGCTTCACAGAGTCATTATCCAAATTTCATATTTAATAAAACAATAAAAATAAATAAAAGAAGAAAATAAATAAAAATAAATATAAAATATACAAATAAATATAAAATATAAAAATAATATTAATTATATAAATAATATAAATTGTTAAAATAATATAAATTATATAACAATATATAAATATATAAGTATATTAAACTATAAAAATATTAAATATTACATAAATAATATTAAAATTAAATTTTATATATATATATATAAAATAAAATAAGCAGACCTGAACAAGGCTATTCCTTTTTACAGTCTCTTCTAAGAGCAGCTCTCTTTCAACAGCTCATTTACTGCCCATGTGGGACTCCACAGTGAAATCTGCTCAGCCATAGATGTAAAAGACTTTCCCTCACACTAATCCTCAACAATCCTTGCTGTTCTCTGGCAACCAGGTTGGTTTTTCTCTTGATTGCCCACATCAATAAATCATGCATTATCTATGCTTGAATTTGGTGAAGATTCTGGGTAATGATGCATGAGATAGAAGAGGACTCAGCTGTTGAGTTGTTCTGCTCAGTAAAAACTGGTTTGAAGAGGGAAAAACAGCCAAGATGGATTTTTGCCATTAAAAACTCACTTGTCTGGTCTCATGCATGGAAAGGAGCAGATGCACTGATTAAAGTCACGATGGATTTGTGGAGTCTCACACACCACCAAGGGAAATTGGAAGAGGAAGAAGAATCTGGGATGTTTGCTGCCAGTAGATGCAAGGAGCACCCGCAGGAGTGCTGGAAAATGGAGAGGGAGGTGATCTCCTCACCCAGGAGAGCTCAGCAGTGCCTGGAGGGGCAGCCCGTACTCCCAGGCCTCTCCCCACCCACCTTTTCTCTTTATCTTAGCACCATCTAGAGGGACGCGTCTGCACACCCGAGAGGAGCACACCCACACACGGGGTGTGGAGCCTGGGGAAGCCACACCTCAGAGGAGCAGAGCACCCCTCCAGGCACCTTCACAAGGTTCAGGCATCCCCCCTGTCCTGCTGAGCTCATCTGGAGCTGGAACAATGGGTCCTCCAGAGGGATGGGAGGTTCATGGTGGAGTGTCGCAGACATCTTTTATGAAAAATCCTTTCCTTAGGACTTTTCCTCCTGAGAAGCTGGGAGGCCTCAGGAACAAAATGTAAAGAATGATTATCTGCTGCTGTGGAATGCAACAGGTGCATCTGTGATTGGTCTCATATGGTTGTTTCTAATTAATGGCCAGTCACAGCCCAGCTGTCCGGACTGTCTCAGTCAGTCACAAGCCTTTGTTATCATTCCTTTTCTATTCTTAGCCAGCCTTCTGATGAAATCCTTTCTTCTATTCTTTTAGTATATCTTTAATATAATATATATCATAAAATAACAAGTCAGCTTTCTGAAACATGGAGTCAGATCCTCATCTCTTCCCTCATCCTCAGACTCTTGTGAACACCATGACAGGGGTGGTCTGGAGGGTCTTGCTCAGGGTTTGGGGTTTTTTCCTTGATATTTTTAACACCTACAGATCTTGCATCACATACAAATCTTTCAGGTTTCAACAGAGGCCACATCTGGTGTGCTGAGTCCACTTGGGCTCCTCAGCAGGGTCAGGGAGCTCCTGGAATGGCACCAGCAGAGGCTGCAGAGAGGAGGAAGGGCCTGGAGCAGCTCCGTGCCCAGGAGAGGCTGAGGGAGATGGGGCTGCTCAGCCTGGAGAGGCGCCCCAGCGGAGAGGGACCCTCAGGCCTGGGTGTCCCTGCCTGTCTCTGTGTGTCCCTGTCTGTCCCTCTGTGTTCCTGCCTGTTCCTGTCTGTCCTGTCTGTCCCTGTGTGCAGGGGTCAGAGCAGGCCCAGGCTCTGCTCCAGGCCCAGCAATGGCCCCAGAGCCACGGGCAGGGCCTGAGCCCAGCAATTCCCCTGCCCAGAGGCAGAACTGCTGCCCTGGGCAGTGCCCAGCCTTGAGCAGAGCCCAGGGAGGCTCTGGGGTCTCCCTGACTGGGAATATTCCATTCCTGCACTCCAGCCCCATCTCCAAGCAGCCTCACACAGGGGCAGCAGGAATTGGGATGGATGACATTGGGATGGATGGCAGGCTGTTTGCAGCACATGGATTAATGTGACAGCTCATTTTTTAGAGATTTTTGCACATCTGGAGTAGAATCAAGAGGCTGAGGAGTCTCTTTGTCAGTAAAATTCTGGTTTCAGGTCAGCACTGGGAGAACTGCTCTGCTTTTTCCAAAATCCTGGAGCTCTGGGTGCTGCTTCACAGAAACCATGGGCTTGAGCGGCCTGACATAAACCACAAAGTGCAAGGCCATGGAAAGCAAAGTCCAACCAGCCCAGATTGATCAGTGTGGGCTTGGTGCACAGATAGGAAGGGAAGCACTTTGCCCTGGCAGAGGGCGAAGCAGAAGTGTTCAGAATCCCTGACTGGGATTAAGGAGCACAGAGAAGCACAAACAGCAGCAAGGTCTGGCAAAGGATGCACAAAAGCTGCATTTCTTCAGTAGCTGGCTTTAGTCGGGACTAAATCAGTGCTCTGGAGGTGGAATGGGGTAAAGACTCTGGAAAAACCAAGGACAATAATCTGCCTACATTTTGTCTGTTAGGGATTTTCACTCCTACCACCCTCACAAATGGGTATCAGAGGGTTTGAAGGTCTGACATGGGGACAGAAGGACATGGAAGAGGGGTTGAAATTCGATGATCTTTAAGGTCCCTTCCAACCCAAACCATCCTGCAGTGTTGAGAGAGCAGCAGCAGAGGAGAGGGAAGGTTCCTTTCCCCACCTGTGCCCCACAAAAGCTCAGTGCCCACTGCAGAGACCCTCTCCAGCTCACTTTGGGATCACAGCACAAGGTTCACCTCCCACACCCCAAACCCAGCTCTTCCAACAGCCACAAAGCAACACCAGCACCCCCTCCAGGGGCAGTGCCAGGCTGAGCCCTCCCCGGGCGCTCCGGGAGCAGCATCCCCGGGGGAGGGAGCCAGGCAGGAAGGGAGGGAGGGGGAAGGAGGAAGCCGAGCTGTTGAGTCAGTGCTGCAGAGCTGCCTGCGAGAGCAGAGAGAGGCACAGCTGCAAAGGACAGATCTGCTGAGCCACGGGAAAATGGTTTGAGTAATAATCAACGGTAAGGAAACCTCTGCTTTGGGGAGAGAGCTTAGAGGGGAAATACTCTGCGTGTTTCATGGTCTGGGCTGGTGCTGGAGGGGTTTGGAGCACAGCCAGGATGGCAGGCACAGAAATAAGTCCTGTTTATCCCAGTTAATCCCCTTTATCCCGGGAAATCCAGTCCCTCCTCCCTGTGCTGGGGTCCTGAACTGGCTGGGAAGGCTGCTTTGAGGGGGCTGCTGATTCCCGGTGTCACAAAGGTGTCCCCTGTGCCCCCAGCCTGCGGCTATGTGGCCAGGAGGATGAGGAGCCTGTGCAGCCGGGAGCCCCGGGAGCCACCACCCTGCCCGGCACAGGCAGCGCCACAGAGCCAGCACCGGGGTAAGTGTGGGGTATTTGGGGACAGGGACATCCACATGTCCCAAAGCCAGCACCGGGGTAAGTGTGGAGTATTTGGGGACATCCACATGTCCCAAAGCCACCAGGGTAAGCATGGGCTCTTTGGGGACAGGGACATCCATGTGCCCCAAGGCCACCACCAAAGTGTGGGCTCTTTGGGAATAGGGACATACACATGTCCCAAAGCCAGCACTGGAGTAAGTGTGGGGACAGGGACATCCATGTGTCCCAAAGCCAGGCTAAGTGTGGGCTCTTTGGGACAGGGACATCCATGTGTCCCAAAGCCAGGCTAAGTGTGGGCTCTTTGGGGACAGGGACATCCGTGTGTCCCAAACCCAGCACCAGAGTAAGTAGGACTCATGGGTTCATCCACATGTCCCAAAGCCAGCACCAGGGTAAGTGTGGGTTTGGGGGACAGGGACATCCCCATACCTCATCCCAAACCTGCAGGGACAGGGCTCACCTGGGCTCAGCCAGAGGTGAGGGCACCTCCACACTGCCCATCTGTGCTCCCAGCACCAAGCTGCATAAGTTTCTGTTCTCCCCTGCTTTATTTCTCCTGTCTGGTTTTGTTGTTAAGTGTCATTACAGGCCCTGGCAGAGGAGCAAATAGCAGCCTTTGGAAAAGGGGACAGACATGCTGTGGGGTGGGATTAGGGGCACAAGAGGATGTCACCTGCTTCCCCAGAGCTCTGTGTCCCTGGGACACTTTGTAACCTATAACCCTGCCAAACACCAAAACTCAGCACCCTACACTGAGCTGTCAACGAGAGATGCCTGTCCTTGCCTCACAATCTTCCCTCCCTGGCCCATTTAAAGCCCATATCTGAAGCACAGTGGCTCTGCAGATAAAGCACAGCCCCAGTTTGGCACAGTGGGTACAGCAAGGACTATCCTGGCTCCTCTCCCTGGCCCATTTAAAACAAACATCTGAAGCACAGTGGCTCTGCAGATAAAGGAGAGCCCCAGTTTGACACCAGTTTGACATGGTGGGTACAGCAAGAACCATCCAGTCTTCCCTCCCTGGCCCATTTAAAGCAAACATCTGAACCACTGTAGCTTTGCAGATAAAGCAGAGCCCCAGCTTGACATGGTGGATACAGCAAGGACCACCCTGGCTCCTCTCCCTGGCCCATTTAAACCCTTCATCTGAACCACAATGGCTCTGCAGATAAAGGAGAGCCCCAGTTTGATATGGTGGGCACAGCAAGAACCATCCTGGCTCCTCTCCCTGAGTCATTTAAAACAAACATCTGAAGCACAGTGGCTCTGCAGATAAAGCACAGCCCCAGTTTGACATGGTGGGTACAGCAAGGACCATCCAGTCTTACCTTCCTGGCCCATTTAAAGCAAACATCTGAACCACAATGGGTCTTCAGATAAAGCACAGCCCTAGTTTGGCACAGTGGATACAGCAAGGACCATCCTGGCTCCTCTCCCTGCCCCAGCCAAGGCATGGAAAGCTCTCCAGCACCACCTGACTGCACTGCCCAGGTGCCAAAGCTCCCTGTGAAAGTGAGCTCAGCTCTGAGCAGCAGGCAGAGCAATCTCAGCACGGCAGGGGTGTGCCCCACAAGTACTGATTGCACTGGTTTGGCTGAGTCACTGCTGAGCAAACACTCCCAGACAGCTGCCCCAGGGTCAGGCCGTGCCCGTCACCTCCTGCCTCTGCCAGCAGCTTGGAGCTGGCCCTGGACACTCCAGGGAAGGCTCAAGGCTGAGCCATTCCCTTCCCACTGCCCCATGAGCTGTGTGGGAGGGGAGGAAGGGGAATTGTGTGCACAGGGGGTGCTAAAACATGTCCAGAATTTCACCTGTCCCTAAAGGAACAGCTGGATCCTGATCAGGGAAGGGAAAGGGGATGTGTCCCTTCACTGATGCCTTGACTGAGGGTGTGTGAAGGAGAAGCAGAAGGAAGGAGCAGCTGCCATCCTACAATGGGAGCCAGGAATTTGCGAAGGTTCCAGGAAGATCAGGGAAGATCAATGATACATCACTTGGATGTATCAGGGAGGGGAATCAAACTCCTCCTTTGAGCAAAGCTGTGCAGCTCCTTTCTGCAGTTAATTGCCGGGTATTTAATTGCAGTCAGGATAGCTGAGGTTTTCAGAGGACCTTACTGTCCCTTACAGAATCTTTCCTCTTGGCTAATCCCAAATTCTTCTCTTTTCCCCTTGCTTGTCATTTGCAGATGTAAAACCAGAGCTACCAGCACCCCCTGAAGCACCAGCCTCACTCCCCAGCAACACCAAACCCATCCAGTGCAGGTCCTGACAATAAATCCCTCATGGTCCTCCCATGAAGGCCACCAGATTCCTTCCCACTGATTTTTGCTGGAAATCCTGTATCCCAGAGATTGGAAAATATCAGCAAATCCCTGCTGGATCTGCTCTCAGCACAGAAGCACATTGATAGAAAATGTCCTGATCAGTGTCTCATGACCAGAATTTTTTGGTTGGCAGGGAAAAAAAAAAGATCCCCAATGTGTGTCAGGAGATTCCCAAGGTGTATCAGGAGATTCCCAGTGTGTATCACAAGATGCCCAAGGTGTATCAGAAGATTCCCAATGCATAACAGAAGATCCCCAATGTGTGTCAGAAGATTCCCAATGTGTATCAGGAGATTCCCAAGGTGTATCAGAAGATTCCCAGTGTGTATCAGAAGATTCCCAGTGTGTATCAGAAGATCCCCAACATGTATCAGGAGATTCCCAATGTGTGTTAGAAGATTCCCAAGGTGTATCACAAGATCTCCAATGTGTATCAGAAGATTCCCAGTGTGTATAAGAAGATTCCCAAAGTGTATCAGATGTTCCTGGCACCCGTGGGCCATGGAACCCCCAGGGGAAGGGCAGGAGCCATTGCATCCTAGCAGGGAAATCGATTTTTATACAGTGAAACCTAATTATGCTCCCAGTGATGTCGGTACAAATTCAGACAATTTCCAAATCAGCTGCTGGGATGGAATAAGAAGTTTTGGAGCTCGGGTGTGTGGGAATCCCTTTCCCATGCCCAGTGCAGCACCCCCAGAGCAGAGGCTGTCCCCAACCCTGCCCTGTCACAGAGCAATGACAGCAGGGCCCCAAAGCCCACAGCTGTGGGGGGGACCCTGCCTGACCCCTCCTGTGACAGCGGGACCACAGTAAAGGTGGATGACATCAGCTGGCTGGGAGTGTGGTGGGTTTTTATTCTGGAATGAGTTTGGGGTCACTGCAGGGCTTGGGATCCTGCACTGGCAGCACGGGGGGATAAGGGGATCACATGGGGGGCACTGATAAGGGGATCACAGGGGAGGGGCACTGATAAGGGGATTATGTGTGTTTGGGGGGTCACTGATAAGGGGATCCTTTGTTGGGGGGGTCACTGATAAGGGACTGACAAAGGGATTCTTTGTGTGGGGTCACTGATAAGGGGATCCTTTGTGTGGGGTCACTTATAAGAGGATCCTTTGTGGATATCACTGATAAGGGGATCTTTTGGTTGGGGGGGGTCACTGATAAGTGGATCTTTTGGTTGGGGGGGTCACTGATAAGGGGATCCTTTGTGTTGGTCACAGATTAGGGGATCCTTTTTGGGGGTGTCACTGATAAGGGGATCCTTTGTTGGAGGTCACTGATAAGGGGATCCTGTGGAGACCTCACTGATAAGGGGATCCTTTGCCTGGAATCACCAATAAGGGCATCCTTTGCAGGGGGGGTCATTGGTAAGGGGGTCATTTGTGGAGATCACTGATAAGAGGATCATGTGTTAGGGGCTGGCTGCTGAGGGGATGTGCTGGGGCCTGAGGCAGGAGGAGATGGATCTCATGTCACCATTCCTGCTGACAGAAACAACGGGAGAGGGAGCAGAGTCATCCTGTACCATGGCAACTGCCAAGTCCTGGTGTTCAGGGCTCAGCCTCCTGCTGCCATCCCAGCAAACCTCTGGCCTTTGCTCGCATGAGGTTCTGTGAGGGGGAAATGGCTGGTGGCAGGAGGGTTTGGACACAAACGAGTCCCAGGCTGTCCCTGGATTGTTTCTGACCCCTGAGGCACCTCCTCATCACCCAGCTGGTGGGCAGGAGCTCTCCAAGGCGAGCAGCTTTCCTGCATCTTTTATTAGAGTCCTATTTCCACTCGTTCATCCAGGACAAGGAATTAGAGCTCCCTTCTCTGCCCCAGAGCTCCTCCACACTGGAGTGTGGGGACAGCTCTGTTTTGGGGTTTTCCAGCCCCTCTGGTCACCTGGCCCAGCTGTAGTGGGTGTGCAGCACTGTGGAAATGAGTCTGGTCAGTGAGAGAGAAAGCCAGAGATGCTTTCCCATGAATTGGTCTGGGAAGTTTTAGTGAGGCAGAGAGAAAAAGAAAGGTAAACAAATGATAAACTATCTGCAGGTGTTGTTTTCAACAAGTTGTTTTCCTCCTAAGATGTTTTACCAAAGGGTGTCTTCTTAATTAGCCAATCAAGTGAAATGTGTTGATTAAATGACCAATCAGGTCCCCCTGTATCCAACCAGGGTATAAAAGAAGAGGTTCCAATAAAATCAGGGCTTCTGCCCTCTCAGCCTTCTGACCTGGAGTCTGTGTCTGTTGTAACAGGACATGAAATGAAGGCCATGCATGCTGAAACTTCTAAGGTAAAAAGAACAAAGTTTATTTATTGACTTTGATATATATAGAATTTCAAAAGTGACCCTGTATTGGAGGATAAAATTGTTACATCTCTAACACCACTGGTTAAAGTAACAGTCTATCAAATATCTCCTTTTCTAGAAAAGAATACAGAAACAATCGTTATTTACATAAAAGTGTGTGAGAAACTCCATTACAAAAATGTAACCATCAGAAGACTTAGAAGAACAGGGTGACATGTGTGTGTCATTCCTTGTTGAGTTTGTGAGGGTCCCCAGGATGAGGTGAGAGATGAGAATCTGACTCCATGTTCTCAGAAAGCTGATTTATTATTTTATGATATTATATTAAAAGAAATTGTATACTAAAACTATACTAAATAAATAGAAAGGAGACATCAGAAGGCTGGAAAAGAATGGATAATGAAAACCTGTGACTGACCAGAGTCCTGACACACCTGGACTGGGACTGGCCATTAATTAAAAACAATTCTCACAATTCTTCAATCAAAGATGCACCTGTTGGGAAGCATCCTCCAGACCCCAATCCAAGCAATCAGATAATTATTGTTTACATTTCTTTTCTGAGGCTTCTCAGGAGAAGAGTCCTGGGGAAGAGATTTTTCAGAAAATATCATGGTGATAGTGGATGAGAAGCTCCATTACAAGAATGTAACCATCAGAAAGCTTAGAAGAGCAGGGTGACGTGTGTCATTCCTGGCTCAGGAGCAGAGCAGCGTGCTCTGGATGAACTGGCAGAGGCAGGGCACGCTGCTGTGGCCCAGGTGTCCCCCGGGGCTGGCCCGGGGCAGCCGGCCTGTCACCAGGAGCCGCACGTAGCACGCGCTGAACAGCACCAGGAGCTGCTGGGCCATGGCCTGCAGGGAGCAAGAGACCTGTTAGAGCAGCTGTGTCACTGTGCCCCATGGTTTATTGGGTGGGGGGTCACTGAGATGAGCGGTGGGAAATGACCCTGGCTCATCCCAGGCTGCAAGGGCTGAGGAAGGAGGACTGGCTGTTCTCTGCTTCCCCTTTAGCTTGGGGTTTTGTCTTATCCCAGACCAGCCTGGCTTCAAACCAGCCACTGGTTTAAAATGTGGAATTCAGGTTTACAAATGTGGAATTCAGGTTTTTCAGGGTTTCCTCCTCCTCATGGCTTCAAACAATCCCCTCGTTTTAAACCAGGCTTCAAACCGGAATTCAGGTTCACAAATGTGGAATTCGGGTTTTTCAGGGTTTCCCCCTCCTCGTAGCTCCAAAAGCAGCCACTGGTTTTAAACCTGGCTTCAAACCAGCCACTGGTTTTAAACCAGCCATTAGTTTAAAATGTGCAATTCAGGTTCACAAATGTGGAATTCAGGTTTTTCAGGGTTTCCTCCTCCTCCTGACTTCAAACCAGCCACTGGTTTAAAAGATGGAATTCAAGTTTACAAATGTGGAATTCAGGTTTTTCAGGATTTCCTCCTCCTGCTTTCAAACCAGCCACTGATTTAAAATGTGGAATTCAGGTTCACAAATGGGGAATTCATATTTACAAATGTGGCATTCAGATTTTTCAGGGTTTCCTCCTCCTCCTGCCTTCAAATCAGTCACTGGTTTTAAACCAACCATTGGTTGGTTTACAAGTGTGGGATTCAGATTTTTTTCAGGGTTTCCTCCTCCTCCTGGCTTCAGACCAGCCACTGGTTTTAAACCAGGATTAAAACCGACCCTGGGCTGTGTTATTTGGTCCTGGCTGCCCTGAGGGCATCACCTGCCCCAGCTCTGCTCCCTGGGAGCCCAGCCCAGCATCCACAGGGATGGGAGGGGAGGCATGGAGAGATTCCTTCCTTAACCAGCCCCTCCCAGCTGTGCTTTGTGCACTTCAGCCCCCAGCCCTGCCTCCAGGCCCTGGCAGCCCACATCACTCACCTGCAGGGCACACAGGTAAGGGACACTGGGGACAGCCTGGGGACACGGGCAGCTCCTGCCCCAAGCCCTGCATTGGCTGCGGTGGAGGTGGGCAAGGACAGAGAAGTGGCCCAGGTCCCCTTGTGGCCAGCAGTGCTGGCACTCTGTCCCCACAGGGGGTGACACCGAGTCACTGCTGGCCTGCAGGTGGCCCTGGGGACCTGCCCACTCTGTCCCTGCCTCCTCAGGCTTGTTTTGGCCTCTAGACAGCCAGAGAGCTGCAGGGATGTTACCTGCCCTGAATTCACTTAGTGACAGGAAAATAAATCAAAATTATCCCATCCGTGCTGAGCAGGAATCAGGGCACGTTTGTGGCTCAAGCGTGGCACAAGTCTTTGAAGGCACTTTCCATGGAGGAGAGACAAAGGCTGGGCTCATCCATGGCTCAGCTCAGCCTAGGCAGGGCCATCAGGTCCCTGGGGAGAGGTTTTCTTCCAAACAGGACCCTTGGGACCAGCAAGGAAAAGCGCAATCCATGAGTTCCTCAAGGATTATCCCCAGCTGCTCAGAGAGCTTTGAATTCAGGTTTACAAATGTGAAATTCAGGCTTTCTCCTCCTCCTGGCAGCACCAGGGCTGGAGAAGGTCTGTGTGGGCTTCCAGGTGCTTCTGCTGGAGAAAAAGGTGGTGTCCCCCTGGCTGGGATGAGTTTTGGAGCTGAGATGCCTTGGGGGTGATTTGGTGCCTCTGTAAAGGGGATATTTCTCCTCACCTGGGGTGGGCCCTCGGGGATGAGGTGCAGGAGCTCACTGCAGGTCACAGGATCTTTATTCAGGGTCACCCCTCTGGATAAAAGAGGGGATTCTTCACATGGGGCCTCCTCCTCCATCCCCAGCTCGGGCTGAGCTGCCACATCCGTGACCACCCAGAGCTTGTTCAGCCTGTGCCTCAAGCCTGCCTGCAAGAGAAGGAG